GTCCTGAAATATCGTCTGATAAATATTCTTTTCAATTAGAAGAAACTGCCCCAAAACAAACACGTTTTCGTTGTTCCGTAACAATTGATCAAAATGTTTCAGAGCCAATAACTGCTATTGGAGTTGGAAGATCAAAACAATTGGCAAAAAATATGGCTGCACAGGTTAAATATTCAATTATAATTACATTTATAGATAAAATTAAATTAAATTGAATCAATATTAATACATATTTCACTTTAGCGAATATGTTCGATCATATTTATATTTATACTAAACCTATCATATTGATCACAATATTCATTAGAAATAATTGAGAGTACTCAGTATTTTATTAATAGAACTTTCGCCAATGATTGTCCAAACTCTGAGAACTCTGTTATTGAAAATCGTTGTATTGATGAAGTTTATGAAGGAGATAGACCATCGAGAAGTTCTCTAATAGAGCGATGAACATATATTGAACGATGTCGTATCTTTTTATGTTCTACATTTGTTCATACTACCAACAATTTTTGTTCAGTTCATATGATTCGAACGGAACAAACACTATTGGTTGTGTGAAAAAACATCTTATATGGACACAAAAAAGATGTCTTGTACATATTTTACTTACGGGGAAAGATCTCCAAGTGATCCATCACTTTTAAGTCAAGACTATGTGCATTACGTAGGCCATAATGAGTTATGAGTACCCTGAAAATAGTTCGGGTCCATATCTTATTTCTGTCGAGATCAGTGATGTCCATTGCAGCTGAAAATCTGTCGCTGCCGCGCCGCGACGTCAGAAAAAAAAGCTGCCACGCCGCGACGGTTTATATAAAAAATTTTGCCGTGATGCTACCGCGATGAATCATAAAAAAAACGTGCCGTTGTGGCGGTTTCCAAAAGTGTTTCGAATTTCACTGTTGCGACTATATTTGACCAGAGATATTGATACTAATCCATCAGATCCATTCAATCTCGGGGTTTTTCATTTGTAAACCGTGAAATTCTATTAAATTCATGCAGTTTTTCAATATCCTTCAAAAAAATCCTGCCGCTGCTGCGACGATTTTAAAAAAATCTGTAGCTACCGTGGCAGCACCGCGATGGACATCTCTGGTCTAGATACTGCATTTTTATGGTAGTTTCTAAGCACAATGCCATGATCTCTTTCTGGAACATCAGAAAAATTGATTTTGGAATTTCGACCCAGAACTTTGTATAGTGATAGGCCTCAATGCAAATAGTTTATTGTGAAAATTTCAGATCTTCTGATTGCTTCTATTCCGAAATACAAATCTCGAAATATGTATGAACGATGTACAAGCATGCATGTTTTTACCATAACTGTATCCTAGGTATAGGAACAACCAAGAGATTTGAAACTTTCACAATAAACTATTCTCATTAAGGCCTGTCACCACACAAAGTTTCAAGTCGAAATTCCAAACTCAGTTTTTCTGATGTTCCTGAGAGGGATCACGGCACTGTGCTTAGAAAATACCGTAAAAAATCCAGTATCTCAACAGCAATAAGCTATGAGTTCGAACTCTTTTCAGAGTGTTCATAACTCATTATGGCCTACATAATGCATATAGTCCTGACTTAACAGCAATGGATCACTTGGAGATTTTTCCTCGTTTGTTAAATGACAAATAGAAAAAAAATATGTTTTAAATGTATAATCTCCTGATATCAATGAAGTTTTAGTTAAGCTATGTAATTATTCTATATTTTTCTTACTTATTAAATTTAATAACATTCAATCAACTAAAACGTTTAATCATCATAATATTGATAAGTATTATCAAAATGAAAATTTCTACTCAATCGAAAATGATTGAAAAGAAAAATTCATTTAAATGAATTGATTCAACTAGCTTAAATAATTATTGATGATTTATTGTTTCAGCAAGCTTTAATGAAATTATATCCAACATATCGTCCACCAGATGAAGCAATTCTTAGTGAAGATTCTGATATATATCAACAAACTCGTTTCA